GCACAAAATTCGCAGCAACATTGTGCGAGATGACATGATCCACCTCCATGCGTGAGACTGTCCAAAGCACAAGGATCTCATATAACCAGCAAGTGCCAATTTCCGACCATACGACGCTGCATGATGATCCTCACCGATGCATTGCGTCATATTGGCACTGTGCGAAGAATGAAGCACATCTGGACGCTGACAGTCCCATGCGCTGACTGAAACTGCACCCGCCACTCTGAAAGAAATACATTGCGCTGGCTAGGGTCAGCTTGTAAACGCCAACCGCCGCAACACATGCAACTGCCTTTCGCTGGCCAGGCACAGCCAAACCCACGCCAACAGCAAATTGGAAGCCAACAGCAAGTCCGACCAATAACTTGCTCAGCAAAGTGCCGGGAGATCGCTGCTGATACTGGGGGCGATGTCGCCGCGCTTCTCGGCGCGCCTGGCGTGCTACCACACGACGCCCGCGTTCAGGTTCGACTGCGGCTGGAGAAGAACGTGAGAAGGTGTTATCCACAAGCTAAAGCCACCGCTGATTCCCCACATGCTCTTCGAGAACCTGCCGCGCACAATGGTCTCGAATGTGCGCATGCAAGCCCGTGTGCGCACCCGCCGTGTAACCGCCGAGGACCTTCACTGGCATGGCGGTTTTCGTCCATGCTGAGGGCGACCGGAGCAGGTTGTGCTGTCTGCTGCTGATGCTGAAAAACTCTCATCGCGCAACAAAGGACGAAGTGCCCGTCAAACGCGCCAAAACAATTACCTTCATGTTGGGGTACGCAGCCGCTGCGCACATCTCGATGAGGGTTCTGGGGTCGAATCCCCCCCTTTCGAAACTCATGTTTGTTTCCTTTGCCCTGTTTTCTTTTTCCGTTCCGCAGCGATTGGCCGCCTGGTGGTGTGCTCGATTGGCAAAACTCGCTGCCTTTGGTTCGTGACCACGTGGGGCGGGAGGGGGGGTATCCTCCACGCCTCCTCGTTGCTGCTGGCGCTTGGGGGGGGGGAGGGGGGGGCAACAAAAAAGAGAGAGAAAACACAACAACAAAAAATGAACATTTTTTTTCTCTCTATTTTTTGCCTCCCCCCCAGGCGCCAGCAGCAACGGGGAGGGAAGGGAGAGGCCCTGTCCTCCCATGCTCCCCCCCCTCTCCTCGCGCCCCCCTTCCCTCCTCCCCCCTGTGCCTTGGGAAAAAAACGGAGGACAGTATCAGCTGTTTTCTAATACCGTGCCCGGCCAATAGTAGTATTGCATAAGCGAAATGGCAGCGCCGTCACAGTCCTGGAGCTGTAGTAGTAGTAGTAGTAGTAGTAGTAGTAGTAGTAGTAGTAGTAGTAGTAGTAGTAGTAGTAGTCAGGTCGTGCAGTAAATATCATACGCTACAGTGTTTGCTGTAGTAGTCGCACTGTAGTGTTGTAGTAGAGGTGCTCCACTACTGTAGCACTCGAATACAATACTATTGCCAACGAAATGTGCACTAGCGGTAGCGTTGCAGGGATAGTGCCGCACTATTGTGGAGCAGTGCTCTAACACAGTACTCGCTAGAAAAATAATATACTGCTCTCTGCAGCGAATGTACTACAGTACTGTAGTAGGAGTACTCCAATGCCGCACCCCGCGCTGTTGTAGTAGTCTGGCACTGTAGCGCTGTAGCGGTGGCGCTGCAATAGCCGTAGCAAAGTACTGTAGCAGTCGTGCTCCAGTAGTGCTACTCTAGGACGGTACTAATGGTATAATAATACCGTGCCCAGCCAGAAAAGCATTGTATCCGTAAAGTGGCAGCGCAGCAGTCATCCAATCAGTAGTAGTAGTAATAGTAGTAGTAGTAATAGTAGTAGTAGTAGTAGTAGTAGTAGTAGTAGTAGTAGTAGTAGTAGTAGTAGTAGTATAGTAGTAGTAGTAGTAGTAGCAGTAGTAGTAGTAGTAGTAGTAGTAGTAGTAGTAGTAGTAGTAGTAGTAGTAGTAGTAGTAGTAGTAGTAGTAGTAGTAGTAGTAGTAGTAGTAGTAGTAGTAGTAGTAGTAGTAGTAGTAGTAGTAGTAGTAGTAGTAGTAGTAGTCGTAGTCGTAGTAGTAGTAGGTAGTAGTAGTAGTAGTAGGTCGTAGCAGTAGTAGTAGTAGTAGTAGTAGTAGTAGTAGTAGTCGTAGTCGTAGTCGTAGTCGTCGTAGTAGAAGTAGTAGTAGTCGCAGTAGTAGTAGTAGTAGTAGTAGCAGTAGTCGTCGCAGTAGTCGTAGTAGAAGTATACGCAGAAGTCGAAATAGTAGTACTAGTACTGGTACTGGTAGTAGTAGTAGTAGTAGTAGTAGTAGTAGGTAGTAGTAGTAGTAGTAGTAGTAGTAGTCGTAGTAGTAGTAGTCGTAGTAGTCGTAGTCGTAGTAGTAGTAGTAGTAGTAGTAGTAGTAGTAGTAGTAGTAGTAGTAGTAGTAGTAGTAGTAGTAGTAGTAGTAGTAGTAGTAGTAGTAGTAGTAGTAGTAGTAGTAGTAGTAGTAGTAGTAGTAGTAGTTAGTAGTAGTAGTAGTAGTAGTAGCAGTAGTAGTAGTAGTAGTAGTAGTAGTAGTAGTAGTGGTAGTAGTAGTAGTATTAGTCGTAGTAGTAGTAGTAGTAGTAGTAGTAATAGTGGTGGTAGTAGTAGTAGTAGTAGTAGTAGTAGTAGTAGAAGCAGCAGGTAGTACCCAGGTCTGGCAATACCCTAACACTGGGTTTAGTTGTCTAGTTGTCGCACTGCAGCTCTGTAGTAGAAAGAACCCACTGCTGTCCTCGGATATACTATTGATACAATCGAACTGGACCGCGTCCGAAGTAGAGCTGTAAGAATAGTTTCGTACTGTTGTGGAACAGTGGTGTACTACTGTAGCAGTGGCGCTGTAGAAAAAATGCTCTAGTACACGGTTCGCAAGAGTAGTACTCAACGGTTGCCTACAATACTGAGATAGCAATGCTCCAGTGCCGCAGCATGGGAAAAACTGTTGTGGTATTCTCAGTATGGAATGCTGTAGTGGTGACGCTGTAACGATAATAGTCGTAACGCTGTATGGAATGGAATGCTGTAGTGGTGACGCTGTAATAATCGTAATGGTACACTGCAGCAATACGGTGGCATACATGATATGCTTGCACTGTACTGGTAGTCGTAATGGAGCTTTAACGTTGGAGTACTCAAGCACGGTCGCCGTGCCCTAGCAGCGCAGTAACGTAGTAGCACAGTATGAATAGAATTCTACTGAAGTCGTAGTAGTGCTCTGGTACAGTAATAGTGGTAACAACGTAGTGGCGGCTGTGGGAACAACACGGTCTTGTAGCACTTTCATGGTGTAGCGTCACTCTGATATGGCCGAGCTGTTGTACTAGCAATTGCGTTGTGGGGGTAGTCGTACCCGAATACTGTGATAGTCGAACTGTTGTAGTACTGAGGTAGTAGTAGTAGTAGTAGTAGTAGTAGTAGTAGTAGTAGTAGTAGTAGTAGTAGTAGTAGTAGTAGTAGTGGTAGTAGTAGTAGTGGTAGTAGTAGTAGTAGTAGTAGCAGTAGTAGTAGTAGTAGTAGTAGTACCCTAGTATTGAAATAGCAATTGAAAGTCTGAGGCTCAGGCTCGGCTTTGGCTGAGGTTCGGCTCAGGCCGAGGCTCAGGCTGAGGCTGGGGCGTATCTTAGGCTGAGGCTGAGGCTGAGGCTAGGCTGAGGCTTAGGCTAGGCTTGGGATTGGCTTAGGTTGAGGCTTCCGCCGAAGCACAGGCTGAGGCTTGGACGAGGTTCAGGCTAGGCTCAGGCTGAAGTGTAGGCGAAGCTGAGGTTTAGGCTTAGGCTGAGGTTTGGGTCAGGCTTAGGCTAAGCTTAGGCTAGACTGAAGTTTCCGGTTGCCTGGCGTAGGCTGAGGCTGAGGCCCGCCGGGGGCTGGAGTTTAGGCTTAGGCTTGGGTTTGGGCCAGGCTTAGGCAACGCTTAGGCTAAAGTTTAGGCAAGGCCGAGGCTGCAACTTAGGCTCAGGCCAGGCATAGGCCCGGCTGAAGAAGCAGAGCCTGGCTAGACTTCGGCTAAACTTGGGCTGGAGCTGGGCTAGGCTGAGGCTTAGGCTCTGCTTAGGCTGAAGGTTGGGCGGACGGCGGCGGAAAGAGAGAGAGAGAGAGAGAGAAAGCGAGAGAAGTGGGAGGCAGCGCCGAAGAAAAGCAAAGCGGGTATACCACGCCGATGCCAACAGCAAGCGAACGATGCGCTCCGTCTCCAACAGAATCCTTTAAAACGCAGGGGGGGGATTCGACCCTTGAACCCTCGATGAGATCGGTGGCGCCGCTACTGGTGAGGAAAGCATTATGAACAAATTGACCTCCTACATGCACACGCGCCACCAACTTCGATTAGTTGAATGTTTATGCAAACGGCCACTCTCTGAAGGGTCGATTCGTTTAGGAGGATCGCCAGGGACAGGACTAAGCTGCGCAAATGCCGCGGGTGTTGGGCCAGCTTTGATATGGTCGCTCTGACTGCAAATCGCCACCGTGGTTGCTACTGGATCTGCCCAGCAACTGCCTCGCACATCATGTTCTCGTAAACGATCTCAATGGCTGGGATTGGAGTTCGTGCAGTGTCCCGTGAGGTGGTCCAGGTAGTTCCAGCAATCCTGCGGCGGCCAGACACACGCCTGAATGATACGCTGGCGCCTCCCAAGCGCCAACGAGAAGGCGGGAGGCGCGCCCTTGCGAACAACCGGACCTACAGCTACGGACCACTCGAGCCGCGACTGCAGGAGCAGGAGGGGGACGAGGAGGAAAGGGGAGGGAGGGAGGGAGAGGCGAGGGGGAGGGAGGGGGACGAGGAGGGAGGGGAGGGAGGGAGGGAGGGAACGGGGAGGGAGGGAGGGGAGGGGTGGAGGGGGACGAGGAGGAAAGGGGAGGGAGGGGAGGGGAGGGAGAGGCGAGAAGCACCGCCCGCGTCGTCGCAGCCGTCGGAGCCGCTCCTCCCCCGCGGGCGGCCCCCCCGCTGCCCTGCCCGGCCCCCCCCCCCCCCGCACCCGGGGCGCCTGGGCCGACGGCCACAGCGCGGCGCCGTACGGGTCGGCCTCGCGGGAGCCGCCCGGGGCCTCCACCGCGCGCTCGACGAGCCACCCCTGGCGCGCGGGGCTGGCCTCGGGAGGAGCCCGAAGGACCATGCAGCGGAGGCCAGTCCACAAGAAACCATCCACAGGACTAGGGGAACGAAGGATGACACAAGCATACAAACTCGGAAGTCCGCGCGGATTTCTCGGATCGGCGCTGGACCCCCCTCCCTGGCGCGCGGAGCGCGCCAGGGGCGGCGCTGGAGGCGCCGCCGGGGGGCCCCAGCGCCGATCCGAGAAATCTGCGCGGACCTCCGAGTTGTTATGTTTATGTCACTTTTGGTTCCCCTAACCATGCAGTGGAGGCCAGTCCACAAGAAACCATCCACAAGGTGCCCAACCCTGAGACCCCAGGGCGTCCATGGATTTCTGGTGCGGGAACGCCACGCTCTCCATCGCAGAACCGTCGAAGCCCAAGGAACCCAGGGCACCCTGGGGGCAAGCAGGGTGCTTCTTGGCACGGGCCTCCACTGTACTGAAGGAAGCCCGCGCCCGCATAACAAACAACAGTTATAAAACCAGGCACATAACAAGACACAAGTAAGGCATCAGAACACAAAACACACAAGGCGCAATAACGGCATAAACATGAACTTTCGGAGCTGCGCGGAGATCCAAGAAATCCGCGAGGACCTCCAACCGTTCATGTAGATGCCTTCTTTTGATCAGATACCGACCGCCCCGGCATTCCTATAGTCCTACCACGAAATGTTCCTAGAACCCCAAAGTGCTTTCAAAACAATAACAATGTTCTTAGAACATAAACCCGATGTGATAAAACATGGCAGACTCCGCCAGAAATGTTCTCAGAAATGTTCTAAGAACATTTCGTGGAAACCACAAAAGGTTCTTAGAACAGTGTTTGGCAGGGCTATAGGCGAGCCAGGACGCTTCGCCACTGCTTGATTCTTTGTTCCTCGCCCCCCTGGCGGCGCCTCTGGCGCCGTCCCTGGCGCGCTCCGCGCGCCAGGGAGGGGGGTTCCAGCGCCGATCCAAGAAAGCCGCGAGGACCTCAAGAAGTTCATATGCTGATGCCTTCCCTTCCTCCCTCGCGAGGTGTGGGGACCGCAGGCGGCCACAACCACGCCGACCAGGACCAGCACCCGTGCTCATGCCGTGCGGTCGGCGGCTTCTCCCCCGAGGGTCCTTCCAACAACAATTGCCTAGTTTTTTGTGTTGCCCCCATCGTACTTGAGGGCCACATCCCAGAAATAATTTCGAGCACCCAGAGAAGTGTCGAAAGAGTGTCGAGAGAGTGTCGAAACAGTGTCGAAAGAGTGTTCCCCAGGGCCCGACACGTGACAACCCTCGAGTTTTGGGGTGTTTTCTTGGTGCTCGAAATTCACTCTGGTGATCAAGGCTAGAGTAGGTTGGAACATCATTAAGCTTAGTTGTGGTTGTGGCTCGGTGCGTTGCCCGGAATAAGTGAACATAAACTTTCGGAGCCTCGCGCGGATTTCTTGGATCGCCGCTGCGCCCCCCCCTCCCCGGCGCGCGGATTGCGCCAGGGGCGACGCCGGAGGCCCTGCCAAGGGGGCGGATGGCCGGGTCTTTCAACATCGAGCGAGAAAAGCGGATCGGATCGGAACGTGACTCAAGTCGGGCTGCATGGGGCACGGAGTCGGAATCGGATCGGATCGACCGCGACAGGATGCACAAAAGCGCCCCGCAAGCGGCGGGCCACCGTGGATCGTCGACATATCGGCATCGAATCGGGCCGGCCAGAGTCGATGTCGAACCGTATTGATCGGATCGAAATGGACCCTGGATGGAGGGGGGGTATTTTGCTCAGTCTTCGACTTCTCGGTTCTCGGGCAACCAACACGGGACAAAAACAAAAACGGCAACCCCGAACAGGCAAAATCGGATGGCGGCCCGCACGGAACACACGGCGAGACGAAGACCCCCAGAACGAAAAGAGAGCGGGCCCCGAAACGGAAAAGTTCTCCGCTCTTGGCTTGCCATCGCTCGGACGGCCATTCCCCGTGCATGCTTCGGCTTCGCGAGGGTCTGTTTCGATGATCAAAGATGGTTCTCGTGGAGTAAGACGCACACGTCCAAGCGATGCCAATTTGAACCTGGAAACGAATCCCCCAAACGAAAACAAAGTGGGCCCAGAAACGGAAAGGTCAGCCGCACCTGGAAACTGGGACAACACGGACCCCAGCCTTCGTTAAAACATCATCTACTCGCCAGCGCAGATCCAATACATCCGCGCGGACATCCGACAGCTGCAGCCTTTTTTTGCCACATCCAACAGCCTCGAGGACGCACAGCCGCAACCCGCTGGCCACTCGGACCCGTACCTGTCAGGGTGCGCCGACGAGGGGGGCTCAGCGAAGTGCGGCGACCCGAGGCGAGTGCGCGGGGTGGGGGCTGGGGGGCACGTTGAGATGGGCCGACCCTGAGATCCTGGCGTTGCAGGTCTTGTGTCACAACGGGCGGTGTCGCCAGATTTCGGTCGGCAACACGCAAGAGTGATCCTGGGCAAGAGTGATTTTTAGTGCGCGGATCAAAAGGGGCGCAAGGTGGCCAAATCCAAGCGCGCGATCAGCCACTATCGTTAGGTCGGGCGTGTCCTCCGACAGGCGGATTATACGCGAACTGTAAAAGTAGTCACAATATACTCCAACACAATCAAGGAACTCTCCAAACATCCTCCCCTGTTTGTTTTTTTTGACGCTTTCGAATATTCCTCTTGTCGAAGGACAATCCCGACTTAAGACTATCGCATCGCGCTCAGCGATCAGGGGGAACCCGGTGAGCCCGCACCATAGGTCACTCCAGCGATCGATATCGAGCCGGCCGCTGGATCGATATCGAGCGCTGGAGCGGTATTGAGCCGGCACCGGAGGGTTTCGATAGCGGCACTGATGCTTATAACTATCTACACACATACATATATATATATATATGTATATATGTATATGTATAACTATATTTGTATTGTTCTGGATTGGCTATAAATGCCCATGTCTTGGGCGCGAATTGATTGGGGGCGATATCTGGGGGGGAGACAAGTGCCCTTCTCGGGCCCCGAAGGCCCCCCTCATGGGGCCCTGGACGGGGGCCTCGTGCCGCGAGCCCTCGCTGCCCCCGCGGCCTCCACATGCCGCTTGCGCTATCGGCGCGAGCCCGAGGTGGCCTCCACGACGTCCGTGGCGGCCAGCGGGGCCTGCTCCGGGTCGCCGGCGAACAGCCCGGCGACGCAGGGCGGCAGCGGGAGCCGGCGGCGCTTGGCCGCGCGCGCCGCGAGCGCTTCGCTCTCGGCGTCGGCGGAGGAGGAGGCGATCGGAGAGGGGCCAGTCCCTGAGATCCGGGCGTCCCTGAACGGACGCGGAGGGGGAGGAGGAGGAGGAGGAGGAGGAGGTAAGGGAGGGAGGGGGGGAGGGAGGGAAGGAGGGAGGGAGGGAGGGAGAGAGGGAGGGAGGAGGAGGAGGAGGAGGAGGAGGAGGAAGGAGGAGGAGGAGGAGGAGGAGGAGGAGGAGGAGGAGGACGACGACGACGACGAACGCTGCGAGCATCGATGAGAGTCTGGCCAACGTAGAAAGGAGGAGGGAGGGAGGGAGGGAGGGAGGGAGGGAGGGAGGGAGGGAGGGAGGAGGGAGGAGAGAGGACCACACCAGTCCTCCAGTGGGGGGGGGCTTCCAGGGAGATGCCACGAGCAGCTGCACCGCCACCCTTGACATCCGGACGCTGCATCTTCTTCAGCCAGTGGGCGATGCTGCCGGGTTTCGGGCCCCGGGCCTCTGGACCCTCACAGATCGGTGCGGCTCGAGCATACCGCTGGAGGATGGGGTCTATGGCTCAGTGCTCTGGTCACGACTTATCGCGAGCTGTTTTTTCTCACTACGTTGGATCTCAGGGGTCGAGCCAACGGCGGCGTTCCTTGGCATTTCGTGTTCTGTGTGCCTCCTGCAATCGTCTCGTCGCCACGGGTGGATCCGATTGGAACAGTGCGTCAGGACGGATCCCAGGAGGGGTCCGGGGACTCACTTTGAGCGGCCTCGGGCAGGGCTCAAGCTAAAGAATGTTTTTCGTGCTCGTGCTCTTTGCGTGTTCCTTTGTTCTGTCTTCGCTCTGCCCTTGCTGCGAGACGAACACAAAACGGAGACGGTCCACGAATTAACGTCAAACCACCGTTTCGCTCGAGCCACTGCCTTGGGCCGGGCGGGAATGCCGCCGTGGCCTCCACTGGCCCTCCTCCGAGAGGAGGGCGGCGGCGAGGAGGACGAGGGGGAGGAGGCGGAGGAACAGACAACGGCACGAGCATGCAGCCGGACCTGGGGCAGAATAGCACCCTCCAAGATAACATGAGGCCTTTCGCCGGCCCAAGGCACCCCAAACCAGAAGCTCCCTCGAGGGTGCCCTCCCCCAGGATGCACAGGGGCATCCGGCGAGCACGGAGGACCTGAGGGCACCCTACCCAAAGCGACCTCGGCCTCATGGCCTCGGTGCGGCAATTGGTGGTCTCCAAACCAGGTGGTGAGACACCCGGTGGTGACCCCGATTCCCCAAAAGAATAATTCTGGGTCGCCACCGGGTTTGGGGACACACGGTCGCCACGAGGTTTTGCGTTTCCTGGGCCAGCCAGCGCTCGAAAACCATTACCCAAATCGCCCAAAACTCACCACCGGGTGTTCTCACCACCACGTTTGGGGACCACCGAGGCAACGAGCCTTCGGAGGCCCGCGGGGATCCCCCGGGTCAGGGCGGTGCTGGGCCGCTCCCGGCGGCGCCTCTGGCCCGGGCCCTGGCCCAAGACGTCGGCGGGCCTCCGGAGGTCCAGGCTAGGGGGCCACATGCGAACCCTACGGCAGGTTCGTGTCGTGCCGACCCCAGCGTTGGTTTTTGACACCGCAGGGATCGTTCAACCTTGAACGATCGGCCGCTGCCGCAACGTCCGATCGTTCAACATCGATCGATTCTGGGTCACCGGCGGCGTTCAACCTTGAACGCCCGCGCTGGGGTCGCCGCTGGTCGACACGACGCAAACCTACCGTACCCCTACCCCCCACGATTTCTGAGGGGAGGGTGGGGTTCACTCCGTTCGGGAGCTCCGGAGCGAAGTGAACCCCGCCTTCCCCCTTCAGAAGTCGTGGGGGGGTAGGGGTAGGGTTCGCATGTGGCTCCCTAACAGGCGCATGAGCCGCTCCTCTGCTCCCCGAGGAGGGGCGGGGGGATGCGGCTGCTGCCGACGTCGGGGCGCCACGGGACTCCGTGGCACCCGCAAGCTGCATCGTAACGGCTGCGGCCGACGTGCCCTGAGATCCTGGCGTTGCATGTGTTTCACACCTGGCGTTTTCGCCCGGCTTCGGGCTCGGGGGCCCTCACAGATCGATACGGCTCGAGAAACGATGCAGAAAGATGGGGTGTAAAGCTCTGGTCATGATTTTCACGATGCTTCAACTTTTTCGAGACGTCGGATCTCAGGGTGGGAGAAGAGCGCGGGTGACCCGGGCCAGGAAGCCATGGAAAGATCGTGCATGGGGATCGACAGCAGAGTGGATTTACCCCAAATTTGGTTTTCCGTCCAAGCCCTGAAACATATACGCAGAATGCTCGTAGATCTACGAACAGCCTACGTACTTTTCGTGGACTCGGCGAGAAACTAAATTCTGGGGATATCAATGCTGTAGTCGACCCCCTACTCGAAAGGATGACAGGAAGGAGAGAGGTGGAAGGGACGTAGGGAGGGCAGGAAGGCAAGCAAGGGGAGAGAGCAGGGAGAAGGATGTCCTCCTCCCACTCCTCCGCCTTCCCTCGAGAACGGGGGCAAGGGAGGGCGGGGGATGGTGAGGAGCAGGAGGACGATGGAGGAGGCGAGAGAGTGATTGGGTGAAAACTGACAAACCGTTTGGGTCATCTGTGTCTCGTTGGTGCGATAATAGGGCAAGGGTCAACCTAAGGGCTTAAAACTAGGATGGGAAGGTGTTGAATTTAACATTCTGCGTGGCACTTGCGCACTGAAGTTTGCGGCTTATGGTGCCGAGGTGCAGGTTCACACCGACAATGATTTGGGTGCCGTCGCCATAATTCAAGATGTTCCAGCTGGCTTCGGGTGTGGTGCGTCGGGGTGCGCAAGGGCTACCGAGCTAGATTTGAGGTATCATCGCGAAAGCAAGGTCTGAACCAACTTTATGGAATCAGGTCTGTAATATGGCTTGGAGCACCGAACGGCTTGTATACACATATGGGCTTATCGTGCTGATGCGGTTGGCCGCTTCTGTATCTCGGTATCGGGGAGCTGGCCTATAGCTGGAAACCAAAGTTCAAAGACATATTAGGATTATGCTCGGTTCCGTCTCTAGTGTACAAGCCTCCCGGACAAACGCATGACGAAATACCCCCTGATGATAGTGATTTTGTTGAGGACGCCATGTGGGCGATGACGATGCCGCCGCAAACAATGACAACGACCATTCATACGACGATCGCACGCTTTGCAAAGCGGGCGACGGCGATGAACACCAACGTTGGCGGCGATGATGGTCAGCGGAACGGAGATGGCAATGATGGCCGTGATCGCGGGCAGGAACGCGGCGATCAAGCGAATCTCGACGCGAATGTCGATGCCGATGGGCCGGGCGATGAGTCGGGTCAGGGAGCGGAGCGTCCTCCGAAGATCGATCTCACCTCGCACGTTGATGTTCCATCCTCATCAGGCCAGAACCATCGTGGTAAAAACCTGGACTTGAGCGGACCACTGCGATTGCATGTCCGCTTCCCCGCCCAGGGATGTCCCCCCCTTCCCCCAAACCTGAAGTCGATCGGATCCGCAGCGGGTATTGGGGTGCGAAGGGGTCGAAGGAGGACTCCTCCTCCCACACCGCGGGAGTGTGATGGGTGATCGGATCCGTTTTCGGAGTTGGGGCGCCGGGGGCTTGTGATGCTGGAGCCGCAGATATAACGCACCGCGACAGCAGAGGTAGGGTCAGGGTCAATATTTGGAGCTTGGGATTGGAGAGTTGGCGTGCCGCGGCGTTCGCGTTCTGGAGAGCCATGGTCATAAGTCAGGAATGCCGCATTCGTGGCACGAAGACATCATGATGTTTTGCTTTGGGTGGTGCGAAGAACTGCACCACTTCGATGTAATTGTGTTTGGATGCCGGTCAAGGCTCTTGAACCCAAGATTTAGGACATCAGATCTGGCTGTTGGGCAAGGGCTGCCGTGTAAACATCGGAAATTCATGGTGGTTCGAGTGTCGGGTTTGAGGGCGTTACCTGTTAGGTTGTCAGATTGGGCATCACTTGATTGCGGGATTTGAGCCCCAAACGTCGATGCACTTCAGTTTAGGCTAGGGAACTGCTGTGTTACGGTTGTGGCTCGGATTCATGCCATGATAAAGATCTCGTTATGCTTCAGCGTCGGGCGTGTGCCAGCGCGCTGTGCCTCAATTGTCTGCTTTACGTGCGATGTTTGGGCTCGCAAGGTTTGGGGCTCAATGTGCTAGGACGTCGCAGTATCATGGTCAGAACAAGGTTGCCGTCGCCTCTCTGGACGCTCTTGCACCCTCTTGTGCCACACTCCAGACGCGTAGACCATACTTCACACCGAAACGCGTCGCCCTTAAACCCTGACGCCCTGGCGCCATACCACTCTGACTCCTGCATCGCGCTCCCAGACCGAAGCCTTGACCCTAACAGGACACTTTGACCCCGAATGCGAATTAATAGCGCCCCCCGGTAGTCGGAAGCACTGGCGCTGTGCACTGGCGCTGTGCACGCTGGACCGTTGCCCGAACACCCTGGCGCTTCACCGCTCCCGAACTGCGACCACAAGTTTGACATTCAAGACCCGTGCTTTCAACATGTACCACGAAAACACAAAGCCGTATATTTAGCCTAACAGCTGCCTAGCTGCCCAAAAACCCTGACAACCAGACATCCTAACCCACACGGCCATAGCCCAACCTTGTCGCTCCAAACTCTGAAAGCTAACGTCTCGACCCATACACGAAATCGAAATACTAATCGTTGTTTAACAAAGATGCCCGAACGCGCTGGTGACTCCGATATCCCATCACAGACAGCCCGACGCCCCAAGCCTCACACGCACCAAGCCGCAAAACCCAAACTCGCACAGACTCCCCGGCAACGCCAATCAGAATTTCTAATGCCAGCGCCCTGAAATGATCGAGGCTCAACGCACCGGCTATTACGCTTCCCGCAGTCTGCTTCGAGCCGATATCATACGATCGTGATAGGTTCGGTGGTGTCCCAAAGCAGAAAGCGAAGGACGACAAATTTCCCACCCAGAACACATTAAGACCTTGCGTTGGAGCTGGTGGTGGCTCGAACTCAAGATCTTGATACGTTGGCGTGGCGCAAGAGCAGGCGAAGGATGAGCCCAAGCTTCACGGGCCCATTGAATCTGACCTCGCGGTGGCTCGGAGTCAAGATCTATGTAAGTTCAGTGGGGTCGCGACGCAGGGCGCTGAAAGAATGCAAGGCCCACAATGCATCGACAGCATCAGGATCTTGAGATCGATTTGGTGGCGGCTCACACTCAGGACGTCGCGGGGTCGCGGGGCGCCCGAGAGGAATGGCGGAGGGGGGGAGGGGAAGGTCGGACCCCGCAGAAGGACGACACGTTCCCAAACGAATTCGACGATAGCCGACCGAGGCACCTCTCAGGAACCGAGCTCGAGCTTCCTGGGCCTCGACCCTCAGAGCGACAGCTGCTGGGAGGAGGGCGAGGAGGACGAGGAGTTCCCCCCCCCTCCCACGCTCGTGCCGACCCCAAACGGATCGCATCCCCGTCGACTCTTGACGACAGGAGGTGGTTGCACGAGCTCTTCTTTCGAGGCCGCGGAGCACGAGCGGGCGGCACTGCTTCTTTGAACACGCAGGGGTCTGAGCACGCCCTGCAGACGGCCGCAAAAGAGAGGCAAACAAGGTGAGGGAAATGCCGTCGAGGCTCGCCCGGAGGCCTCGGCCGACGCTGCCCGGTGTCATGGCGGCTCCGACCGAGACCGGGTCACACTCGGGCTCGGGGTCTCCGAGGGCGGCTGGACCCGCAGGATTGTGCCGCGAGGGCTCACCACGTGCCGCGTCCGACAGGCACCGTTCGCGGCCGCGGGGCACGCCGCCATCGGCCGCGCGCCCGTCTGCGCCCCCGCCCCCGCTCCCGCGACGAGAACCAGATGCCGCTCGGGCTGCCGCACCGCCACGCAGGCCCGCCCGCACGCGCCCTGCGCCCCTGGCTGCTGCGACACCGCCTCGACCGCGGCGGGCAGGGCCGGAGCGGGCAGCGTCGAGGGCCTCTGCACGACCACGCCGTCTCTTCCTGGGCACGGGCCCGGCGCCCGAGCCATGTCTCTCTGGTCTGCCAGCTGCACGCGCTGCTCCGCCGCCACGTCGTCCTGTCGAGGCCTCCCAAATCGGGTCCGAGTCGATGTGATCGGAGGACCGCGCCGCATCGCCGATCCATCGCCGATGCAACATGATGCATCGGCGTGCATTGGTGACGCCGGCGATGAATCGGCGACGATGGCGTGGAGAACATCGGGGCCACATCGAGCCGCATCGCCGATGCATTGGCGATGCGGCGCGATCCTCCGACGTGATGTTCTCGGACCCTATCTGGGAGGCCTAGGACCTGTGTCCCGTCGTCGAGGCTCACGCTGATCCACGGGACCTCTCGAACATTGGTATGCTTCTCGACCACCTCGACGTATCTGATCGAGCGGCCCAGCAGGTCGTAACACAGCACCCGCTGGCCTCGCTCAAGATCTCGCAAAGGGCAGGAGCTGGCTCGGCCCTCGACCCACACGCTGGCGTCCAGCGGCAAGCAGTCCGAGCTGCTGATGGCGGCGGCCTTGTTGAGGGGGAACGTTAGGGGGGGGACCAGCTCAGGGGGGGAAGCACTGTCACAGACGCGGCGATGCATGGCCGATAAATCGGCGATAGGCCCTCGACGGCAAATCCGCACGGCCTTGGGCGGGGTGGGCCATCAGGCCCCCTGCCGGCGATGAATGGACGAATGGGGGTCGATGCATCCCCCCCCGCCCTGAGCCGATCCCCCCCTAATGTTGCCCCTGGCTTGTCTCGCTGGCCTCGGCCTCGCAGCCAGCGCCGGTCTGGACGAAACCGGCGGGGTTGCTCAAGCACGCGCGTGGGACAGCTTGCTGCGAGCTTTCTGAGCGAGCCGCAGACGGTATGCCATCCCAGTCGGACGGCACATCGTTCATGGCCTGTCGGAGGTAGGACGAACTTCGTATGTGGCTCCCGATCTGCACGCATAGGTCGTCACGGTCCTTCACACATTCGAGGGAAAACTCGGCACGGAAACGCATCTGCTTCTCCTTCAGGTACGATAAGTGGAGCAGGCGGGTCTGAAACTCGGAGTTCCGCTTCCCACAGCACGTAACCAGCACTACAAGTGCGAACAAGAGCAAATTGACTGGTGCTAACCTCCTGTCTGGGCCATCGAGAATGAAGGCTGCGGCCGCGTATCCGCACACAGAAAACAATGCGAGGGGGACGAGTGTCTTCCATCTGACCATCATGCTTGACCCTGCGACACATAAAGTAAGGCTCAACAAGAAAGGAGCGTCAGAACCAGCCAGGTCCTGCCTCCACACAGCACTTGGATCTTCGTAGCCGAATGCCTTAGCAACGTAGTGCTTCATCGTTACGCAGGCGTGACATTCGGCGACTACCACGGCGACAACTACCCCAACCTCTAACCCACGTGTGCCTATCAGGCCGCAGTCCGACAGCACGAGTGCTGCGATCAGCGACAGCAGCTTCCCCCCCTCGCACGCGACTTCGAGGTAGAGCTGCCATTCCCGAATGCTGCGCGCTTCCTTTGTCGGGGAGGCGCCCTCGTCGCCCACAGCGCTTTCGCGAGCCAAGACCGCCAACCCGAGGAATACGACGACGATGACGCGACGATAAGACGTCCGGAGCTGGTCGCGGCTGCCGCGCAGGAACCCGTCCTCCACGTTCGGATCTGCGAACGAAAGCGTCCATGCCTCGATCTCGCCGTCTGGCCCCCACCTC